CCCCGCCTCTACAGAGCCGGTCTCAGACATGCTACTTTCTGTCTCATCTCCTACCCTCATCCCCTCCTACTCTATTTTTTTATGATTTGGTCTTCATCCTTTCTCTGGTCAATAATTTTATTTTCTCTACTTGTTTTTCCTTTGCAATCTTCATACTTCACCCCAAGAAACCCAACCAAGAGTTGAGCATTCAGGCAAAACAGAATTCGCCTAAAAGAAGAGCTAACAGCTGTAAAAAATTACAGACCCACCCCAAGGCCATAAACATCCCAAAGGCCTAGGACCCCAGATTCAGAACAACCGACTCCTCTGTGACCGGGGAGGCTTAGAGGAAGACACTCATCTTTTTTTTAAAGGTTTTTGCTATGGGACGTGTGTGCTCTCCAGACAGACAGAGAGAGACATAGAGACAGAAAGAGAGAGAGAGAGAGAAAGAGAGAGAGAGTGAGAGAGAGCGAGATCCCTTCTCCTCCATTCTCCTCTCGGGATCTTGGGCACGCACGCACACGCGCCCGGCGTGAGTTTTAAGCCACCGGGTCCAGGACGCGAACTGCAGTTGACTACGTGGGAGTCCAGCGACATAGCCATTACACTAACTGCTGGTCCCGATACGCATCTTGAATAGAAAGTCAGAACATGAAAAGACAGAGAGAAGACCGATATCCCAGAGGACTGGGACGAAATGAAAAACCAAAACTAGATACGAAAATATAAGTGTTTCTGGGTAGGGAAGATCCAGAATTGAGTGCCCCTGAAGGGAGACCTGCATCCTAAGCAGTCGAATATAATTTCTAATACTTTCTGGGACCAGAACTTCTGAGTACAGTCTTTACACTCACACTGAACTCTCCTCACAGCTGAACTCTCATTGTCACTGCACCAACAAGAAGTAGCACTTGGGGGACCAGCAGTTAGCGTAATGGCTATGTCGCTGGACTCCCACGTAGTCGACCACGGTTCGAGTCCTGGACCCGGTGGCTTAAAACTCACGCCGGGCGCATGTGTGTGCATGCCCAAGATCCCAAGAGGAGACTGGAGGAGAAGGGATTGTGGCATGCCCATCCCCCCTGGGGGATGATTTCTCACTTTCTGTCTCTCTGTCTCTCTCTGTCTTTCTGGCGAGCACACACACCCTATAGCTAAAAACCTCTCCAAAAAAAAAAAAAAAGAAGAAGTAGCACTTGGGGCCAGCAGCAAGTGACATGGTGGTTAGGGCAGTTGGATCCCACAGGGCCAACTTTGAGGTTCACATCCTGGACCTGGTGGCTTGAGGTACATGTGTGACCTTGCCTAAACCATGAGAGAAAAATAGCAGACAAGGGATTGTGAGGTGCCCATATCCAATCCCACCACACCCTGCAGCCCCCTGGGTTGTGCTTTCTCTCTCTCTCTGTGTCTCCAGTGAGTTCACGTGCCCGATAGCAAAAATGTTTTAAAAACAAAGAAGTAGCAGTTAAACAAGATGTTTCCAGAGAGTGTTGTGCTGCAGTAGAGGAAGAGCCCCGAGCAGAGGCAGAGGCGTGCTCCCTGCAGTCTCTGACGGAGGAGAGCGAGGACCTGAGCCATCCTAGTGCAGAGACCCTGAGGGAGAAGAGCAGGGCCATGGCGGGGAGGGGAGGCCAGAGGAGACTCAGTCACTTACCCCCGTACAGCTGGGCCTTCCTCCAGGCTGAAAGGGAACACAGCTGGTGAGACCTCGGCCAGGACAAGCCCCGCACAGTGAATGTACTGGCCCTCGCTCCTCTTTGTTTTAAGCTAAGTCCATCTGTCTGAGGAGAGAGACTGGGGAGAAGGGGCCCCTGCAATGTGCAGGGAGAGAGGGGGTGGTGGGAACCTCCCTGGACACAGCTCAGGATGCCCACATCACAGACAGCTCCACCCTGTCCTGCTGCTGCTGTGTGACTCTAGGCAAGTCACGTGGCTGCTCTGGGCCTCAAAACAGGAAAAATTCTATTCTATCTACATTAGATTTTGCTGCTAAGAATCAAATATTAAATTATGTGTGAAAATAGTTTAGGTAATAAAGCATAAATTATATTCCCAAAACTCTTGGAAGTCCCACACCTTTTCAAGTTCTTCCTATATAGTAGAAAACGTTATTATAACCAGTTTTATTCCAGCAAAGATCTATTTGAAACATAACTCAAAAAGAGCAATGATTTAAGGACAGGAACATACAGCAGGCTCTGGGTAAAGCGGCCGCTCTCCCAGCTGTCCTAGAGAGGAGCGTCACTATTCCAGGGAGCATCAGCCCCGCCCCTCACACTCCACCCCAGCCAGCACCCAGTTCTCGCCCTGTCAAGTTTTAATTAGCACCTTCAGGAGCTGGAAGAGGAATGACTCTCCCTGGATGGTGTTGTGGGGAGAAGAGGTGAGGGGTGACACTCCTGAAACTGAGGGCCCCATGTACTTACATAGCTCATGTAATAAATATCACAGCATTTAGCTTTCAGTTTCTGGGAGCACACTGGAAGTGGGAAGAGGAATGACTCTCCCTGGATGGTGTTGTGGGGAGAAGAGGTGAGGGGTGACACTCCTGAAACTGAGGGCCCCATGTACTTACATAGCTCATGTAATAAATATCACAGCATTTAGCTTTCAGTTTCTGGGAGCACACTGGAAGTGGGATGCACTAAAGGCTAGAAAACTATATGTGGATAGGTCAGGTGGGGATGAGGAGACCCGGGTGTACAATAGATCAGGGGTCACCATCACCCCCAGGTCCCCAAGCAGGAGCAGTGGCACAGATGTGGGAGAGCCATGGAGCAGGGTCTCCCCCCACCAGCTTCCACTTCTGCTCCCAGGGTGGAGGGACAGGGGACCACATGGCTGAGCCCAGACAGAAACAAGGACAGGGGACCTGGGCACAGGTGGATGAGAAACGAGGACATCTGGAGGGTCACTCACCAGCCAGGTAAGCTGCTTTCCTCTCACCTGAAAGGAACACACAGGACAAGGTGAGCTGGGGTCAGAACGTCTGCTGAGAAGGGGACACGGGGAGGGCGGGGAGGGGGGGACTCAGGACTTACTGAGGGCGGCCTGGAGTTCGTCTGAAAGAGAGGGAAGAGAAAATATGAAGTTCTGGTCCAGCAGGTGTGAAGGCTAAGGCAGCTGGACCCACGTGGCCAACTAAGCAGTTAAAGTCCCGGACCTGGCAGATGGAGAAATGCACCAGGTACATGTATGTGTGTGCTAAAAATCCCAAAAGGAGAATGGAGAAAGAATCACAGGGTGGTTTCCCCTGCCCCAGGGGTGATTTCTCTGTTCTCTCTGTGTATGTGTCTGTGTCCTTCTTTGGTGATCCTATGAACCCTATGGTAATAAAACAAACAAACAAACAAAAACAAAACAAACAAAGGAAGAAGAAAGATACACCCTGTAGCAAAAAAAAAAAAAAAAAAGAAGACGACGAAAAGAAGAAACCCAGGAAGAAACATGCACTTCCATCCCTAATGAAAGCGAAGACTGAGCCTGGAGAACTCCCAACACAGAGCTTTGCTGTCCTACAAGACGTTCTAGCTCCACTCCCACCACTTGAGCCTCCACAGTCCCAGCTGTCCTCTGGGATCGCCTCAGCTTTTGGCTCCAGGCCAGGGGAGTTCTGTACTCAGGACCCCACTTCTGTTTCCTTGTCCCTCTCAGCACCAGCTGCTGCACCTGCCCCACCCTGCCTCCCCTGCCTTACCGCTCTCCTTCAGAGCCTCCTCCTTTGCCTGCTGGGCGTCCTCCTTTTCCAACAGCAGCCTCTTCTGTTTCCGCTGCTCCTGCAACTTTGTGGAATGTTCTCTCTTCAGGAAACAACCAGCCCCACAGAGCAGGAGCCCCAGCACAGTCAGGCTCACGACAAAAGCTGGTTTCCAGAGAGAGGCCTGAGGGAAGAAGGGCTCTGCAGCCCGAGGGTGGGGAGCAGGTCAGGGGCGCTCCAGGACGGCCCCGCACACTCAGGGCGGCCGGCCCTCCCCTGTCCTGCTGGAAACAGAGCCACGC